ATTTTAATATGCAATTATGCTGTATTAATGTTAATATAAAGTCGATGTCGGACGTTTCGATCTATTTAAGACCATCTTCATGGACATTTTCATTTAAACATAATTAACATTAGAACATATAAAAATTTAACACAAAAGACGATGGACATAAAAGCACAACTAATCCAAACAGATAACTGAAATTTTTATATAAGATCAGCGTTCCGTTTAAATATGATCACGTCGTCGTCACGTGGGCGATGTTGTTAAAACCTATTCGAAGATGATTTCCAAATATTAAAATATTAAAAAAGTCGATTGAACTATTTTATATAAACAGTTCAAGAAATCCCTTCCGTTGATATAGGAATACGCAGAGATCAATATGTTCTTATATCTTCATACAAGCTTGAAGTCCTTCACGTTACAAAGCAAATCAAAAATGATTTCAAAAACGATGGAACAGTTCTAAAAAACAGTTCGATAATAAATCCTTTCCTTACTTGATCAATAGAGTCTTATATTCTCGTCCAAGGTTGAAGTCTTCCATGTTATAAAGTAAATTCAGGTTTGTATTTCCAGTAGACAGTATGTAAGCAAATATATGGATATAGATCCGACAGTATGAAGAAAAATACAGAAAAAAAAAACAACAAAACTCTTAATATGCAATTATGCTGTATTAATGTTAATATAAAGTCGACGTCGGACGTTTCGGTCTATTTAAGACCATCTTACATACACGAAAGCAATTTTCATAGAGATATTGTGCATTGAATCTGGTTTAAAAACATTTTAAGAAGTATTGCTACAATTTACTCAACAATTTATATTCATTAGTAGAAAATTTTTGCGACTTCTTAGAGAAAATGAACGCAAAGTCTGTTCTCCATCGCTTTACCCAACAGATACTATAAAGGTTGTGATTTCAATCCCTGCAATAAAACAGCGAAGAAACAGACTTATTATAATGAAAAACAAATAAAAAATTAGTTCCAGTATCTCGAAAGGGGACTAGATATAAAGCAAGCGATCAGTACAACATTGAGGTAAGTCGGAAAGTACAGAAATGAAAACAATAAAGACGATAGTCCGAGAAAGTCCTTAAATAAAATGTTAATCTACTTACTAATATCCTTAAATATCTGTGTATTTAGCGAGCTTAGGTACAAAGCCATTTTCTAAATGAAATCTTCAAGCACTACTTCCTCACTGATTGATGACAGTTAAATTTAGATGTAGACAGAGAAGCATGTAGAGTGCCTACCATAGCGAAATGGTTAGAGAGCTCGTCAAGTTTATTCACAACTATGGCCTTTTACCGAGCTCAATTGAGTTTATTAAATAAACACACACACACACACACACACACACATATATATATATATATATATATATATATATATATATATATATATATATATATATATACTTGATACAAACAGTGATAGACATGTTTGTATGTATGTATATATTTTATCTTTATGTATATATATTTTTATTTCATATATATATATATATATATATATATATATATATATATATATATATATATATAGAAATAAGCGTAAATACGTAGAGATAAAAATCGTGGTAATATATATATATATAGTTAGGTAATGCAATGTTTGGTTATCCGTATGGATAATCCCAAGTAGGATGTAATTCAGGGAACTCAATGTAAAACCAGACCGAATATTAATTTAAATTAAAAAACAGACAACATTAAGGATCCATTGATAATATTTATTATTATTATTTCCTGGGGAAATAAAATATAATCAATGGATCCTAAAGGTTGTCTGATTTTTAATTTAAATTAAATTTATATATATATATATATACATATATATATGTGTATATATATATATATATATATATATGTGTGTGTGTGTGTGCGCGCGCGTGTGTGTGTGTGTGTGCATACAAATAGTAAGAATGAAAGCTAAATCTTAAAATAAGGTTTAGCTTAAAATATAAAATAAACTGAAGGCTCAATGTCAAAATCAACAGAGCCGAAATATAATAAAATAATAATATGAAATCAGCTACTCAGAGTTTCACGCCATGTCAACCATCATGCTGTTAATATTTTTTTCCCAATAATGTATTGCTCGTAATATTTTTTTCCAAAAATATATTGCTGGTAATTTTACTATAAAAATCTATTTTTCTACTTTCATCGTGTTTTGAACCCAGTTTGAGGGTTCACTATTTGCCCGTACCTGGTCAGAGAAGACCAGGAGACAGTAGCAATGAATAGGTGGTTCCCCGCTTCTCAAAACCACCCGATCAGAGACCTTGCTGCCGGATGTAGTTTATTGTCATCCCCAGGATGCATAAACAGATAGACATATAAGATAGATAGATAGATAGATAGATAGATAGATAGATAGATAGGTAGGTAGGTAGTAAAGCGCCTTAGATAGATATAATAGTGTTGTGCGTATGTATGTCGAGTCCTCACTGAAACCGAATGGGTAGCAAATTTATCATATGTAGTGAGTTCGATCTTTACCCAGATGACTATGACTTTAGATCATATTAAGCTAAACTATAATAACTGTGTTGGGGCACCTCGAGGTGGTGTAATGGTTAGCAAGTTTGTCTCGCTAGAACAATTACGACTCAGTAGTGAGTTCGATCCTCACTGAGTGCCTCTTACTTACGACCTTATGCCACATCAAAGCTACGCTTGGAAAATCGCTATAATAACTGTGTTGGTAATTTTATAAATATGATATTTTAAACATTTCGAAGAAGAATTGAAAACGTGTTTTTGCTTTTATATTTTCTAAATGTTGAAAAGGAAAACTAACAATGTTTTTGAATGTTAAATATTTAAATTCGAACGTTTAAAAAGATAATTAGTTAATAAGCTAAAAAGATAATTAGTTAATAAGCTAAAAAGATAATTAGTTAATAAGCTAAAAAGATAATTAGTTAATAAGCTAAAAAGAGGGAAACCACATGTGCCGACTGTATAAAAGTTGAGGATTTTAGATTTTGAAAATGCCTTAATTTCCAGGATGAGGAGTTATCATTATTTACATTCAGTTTATTGTTCTCATTTTTGTTGTTATTATCACCTGATCGCCTTCTACCTGAATTTCTGGGATGAGGAGTTATCATTATTTACATGCGGACTATTGTCCTCATCTTTGTTGTTATTATCAAAATCTTTCGGCCGTTATATCCTCTGAGCTTCCTCGGATCCTTGTAGAACCTGGTAATTTTATTGAATCTTTTATTTAACCTCATTCCGTTCACAATATCTAGGGATATATCCACTAGTTCTTAATTAATCCTACTTGCTCCGTTTCCATACACGTTGCTCGTTCCAGGAATTAAAGTCAAAATTACTATGTCTCACCAAAATTCACAAACAAACCCTTTAACCCTAATCCTAACTGGAAGACATGGAGCCTTACAACTAACCTAACTGCTGACGAGTGTTGTTTCTGCAGCTGCTATTTGTCACGTTTGATAGAATTCACGGTGTTTTATCATTTCAAGTGCTGCTTCTGCTCTCTTTCTTTATTAACGGCTCTCATATTGTATTTATTTCCATGTTAAGCCTACTAAGGAGGTCCTCATAGCGTAGCATATGCGCTGATTCTTTCGGACGTCTGACTTTCCAGTGTTCTTCTCTCTTTAAGTAGTAGTAAATAAGAACTAGACGAGATATCCCGAGATATTATCAGCGGAATGAGAACAACCTAACCCATGTAGATTAAATAAAGTGTCCAGTTCGAAATTCTATGAAGGTTACCCTGATCGTCAAACAGACGAAGGCCGGAAACTCAAATTTTGAAACGTTGTAATAATGACAACAAAGCCAAAGAGAATGGTCGATATGTATAAAAATCATGTATTCTTTTGGCTTTCGAATATTTTCTAGCCTTCACGAAAAGAGAGCATTTTAGAAATGAGGAATATTTTAATTAGAAATCACTTGAGGAAGAATTCAATGGAACCAGTTTAAAATGTAATTTTTTTCCTTCATTCCAAACAGCCATTTTATGTGGAAAAGTCCAATACAGTTGGATTTGCCATCCTTCGTTATTTCCAAGGTTCATAAGGAAGAACCGTTTTGTCGGATGTTACGGATCACAAGGCAGAGTGACATCAATGGTTCGATCCCAAGTTACAATTTCAACCAAACATTTCAACCGTACATCTTATGTACCTACCATGTTTTGTCTTTTATGTACAAATATATTGACAAGAATAAAATATTTACATCAGATGTAGGTGGAATTAATAGCCCAGATTAGTGAACCTGTACCTGTAGAATGAGATTTGATAGAAACACAAACAAATAATTAATGTGAATAAAAAGTAGGTCGGATTAAAAGATGATCGGACTACAGGAATTCAACTTGCAGAATGGATTGAGGGAAACACAAACAGATCCTAAGTGTGGATAAATCGTTTTGATTAAATGGTGCCAGGATTGAAAGAAGGTCGGATTACAGGAAATATATTAGAATATGCAAACATAGAAAGTTTCGTATTCTTCAAACACTTCATATAGACACAGGCGCTCAAATACACACGCTCTTCTTCACAAGTGAAACGAAACGCATACATACAGAAAGGCTGAATGTATGCGTATATATGAAACGTTAAAACACATATAAGTGTGTGCATAAGGGAGAATAAAATTGAGAATTTCGGCATGCAACTCTTGGAGCCGAATGGGAGCGAGGCAATTTGGATGCGAAAGAATTGGTTGGGGAAGAGGGAAGTCTTGGAGTAATTGGTGCCTGTTGTTGACTTGGTTAATATGAGGGCGATGGAGGTGGGGGGTTATGGCGAGAGAAATGAGATTTGCAGGCGGTCGGTAACATCAAAGGGAAGAAATAGCAAACGAAGAGAAAATGAGTTTCATACACACACACACACACGCACACACACACACACACACACACACACATATTACTCTGCTAATCTGTGTCGGTGTGATGAGCAAGGGACATTCTTAATTTTCGCAAACTGATTTGAAGTACACGGAAATTTCAAGGCATGCAGTGTGTAAGTAAGGAGTGAGAGAGGGGAGAGAGGGAAGAGAGAGAGAGAGAGATGGGGGAGAGAGAAGGGCATAGAGGGAGGGGAGATAGATTGGTGTTGTTAGACAAAAAAGGGATAAAGAACGGCTGAATAAGCATATTCAAAAGGCTGAGGGAATATGGTGAAAAGCAAGTGCGTGATAGAAAGAGAAATAGAGAAATCTGAGCATTATATTGTAAAGACAGAGAGAGAAAAAGAGAAAGAGAGAGTGAGAGATTGAGATTAACTGAAGGAGTATGGCAATAGCGAATGACAGAGAGAGCGATAGTGAGGGATAGATTGAAAGAAGTAAAGAAAGTCTGAAGAATTATATTAAAATCTTCAGGGAAAGAAAGAAAGAAAGAAAGAAAGAAAGAAAGAAAGAAAGAAAGAAAGAAAGAAAGAAAAGGAGAAAGAGAGATCGGATGCTGACGAAGTGCGGTAAAATGAGTGTGATAGGGAAGGAGAGAAAGCGAGATACAGAGAGGGAAAGAAGGTGGGAGAGGGAGAGAAAGAAGTGGGAGGAATTGTAGTGACAGACAGACAGACAGAGGAATGATAATTGTTTTGTTCATGTCAGTAGTAAACATTTCTTTGAATATATCTGCAGTATGATATACAAAGTTTAGCTGAATTTGATGCAAGACTAAATAAAGGAAATATGGAAAGTAAAATTGTGTTGTTTCAATCTATTAAGATTGTTAAGGGCTGCATATGTTCCTTGAAGTATAAAATGATATCTATTTCCCAGAATTCGAATATTGACCATCGAACCAGTACAAGAGATACATAATTACCTTAACCACAATCCAGCCATATTAGTCTGCGTTTTGTTGACGTTAAACCTATTACGTGTCGACACGCAAAGGAGGACTTAATGATTTTCAACATAATATCATTATTTGCTAAAGGTGGCTTAGTTTTAGCACAACACCACAAGTATGGGACACTTAATAAAGAACGAGGTCACTAATTGTTATGGGACCATACGTAATAAATACTGTGCCTCAAGAGGAAGCAGGGAGTTCAGTCTGAAGTCTGGAGTGAGGTCCGTCAGAAGTCCGTCAGGAGTCTGTCAGTCAGTCGAGTCAGAGGCAGTCCGAAACAGAGTCGCGTTCAGACAATTACTACAAGACATTGGAATAGTGATAATGGTCGAGATTACATTGTTCTCCCTACTAAACCTGATTGTTCGTATTAAAACTTTCTACTTCTCTGTATATATTCCTGTTTGTAATATATCTGTGTTATTCCATATCCGTGTTCGAGTTCTTCTTTATTGGTTCTACCTTGGACCATCACCGTGGTACAAGGAACCGGACCATAACACTAATAATGATCTCCAAGTCCAGTTTGCATTTAAAACATGTGTTTATATACATGTAAATGGGTTCGGAACCTATTAAAGGTCTTAGTTCCAATGTTGTCTTCGACAAGAAACACAGGCTCGTCAATAGGCCATTAACCGTGAATGATTGTCATTCTGATAACAAAAACACATAAAAAAAATAATGATACGCTGCTGTGATAATTATACTGAATGGTATACCTGCAGAATAAGATGGCTACCTACTGTAGAGTTTCCACCCCTCTCTATCCCTTGAAGCCCTCAACAAGTTCCTTCCCTCTGCTTCCTCTCCCAGACCACGTTCTGCCATCCACTTGCTCAAGGCCGCTAGGCATGTCACGCGTTGTTTTCCCTTGTCTCTTTCCTTCTATTCGACCCGAGAATATCAGATTCTCCAGTCTCTCCTTCCTCATTATGTGTCTCAGGAACTTCAGCTGCCTCTTCTTGATGTTAAGTATAAGCCTCCTCCTTGTTTGCATCCTCTCTAAGACCTCATCGTTGCTCACACGCTTGGTCCATGATATCCTTATCATCCTTCTGTAGAAGCACATCTCCGGCGCCTCGAGACTCTTCTTCATCTTTGAGGAAATCGTCCAACATTCGCTGCCGTAAAGAAGAACAGATGTCACGTAACAACTCAGTATTCTTTTCTTTGTTACCAAAGAAATCCTTCTGTCGCGCAATACTCTGCCCAGCTTTTGGAATGTGTCCTTGTCCATCCCAATACGTCTACGGATCTCAGTGTAGCATTTACCGTCGTCTGTCAGAACGCTTCCCAGATATTTAAATTTCCGTGTCTGCTTGATTCTAGTGTTCCCGACCTGTAAATCACATTTCGGGCTCATCCTTTTACTGATGACCATGCATTCTGTTTTCTTGTAGTTTGTGCTTAGTCCTTTCTTCTCACTCTCCGTCGCTACCTTCTGTAGAAGATTTTGTAATTTCTTTTACAGTTAATATAGTTATACCGAATGGTCAGCTAGCTGATTATCATCAACTGCAGTGATAGAGTGACAGTTAAATGAGTGATAAGGAAAGATACTTTATTATAAGATGATGTCATGGGATTCTGGTGTGAAGCCATTGTGAAAATAGTTATACACAAGCGTCCTTGCAGTAGAGCAATAGTTAAAAATAATCATATACAAAGGTCAACTAGTTGCTTATGATTGGCCTCTGCTGTAGAGAGAAAGTTAAGATCGTCATATCTAAAGCAACACTTGTATCATATCATAGGTCTTTCATGAAAATCTATGTTGAAAATATTCATATATCTTAAGGTGATAGCTTTAATAGTCATGTAGAAATAGCTGTATAGAGAAAATGAATTATTTTTTTACAGTGATATTCATCCAGTACAAGGCCCTATGACCACTCGAGGTAGAGGGTAAGAGGTACAGCCTGTGCTGAAGATACCAGTTAACCCTAGACGTGAACAGGTTAAGATTGTAGTGATCTGGAAAGCAAACTCTTGGGAATCGGTTCCGCAAGGCAGCAGTTCGTGGGAATAAACTGCTTGTGTGGAGCTTACATCTCCTCGGGGGGGGGATATGAAGGGAATGAGGGTGGTTTTCTACAATGGAAATTGCATGGTGGGTCTTAGCCATGAACGTTAAGACTGGTGGAAATAAGGAATGCAGTTTATCTGAACACTCGCCATGGAAATAGCGATAGAACAGGGAGAGACTTGCGACATCTTGTCTGTGAGAAAGCGGTTGCAGAATAGAAAATTAATTCGTAGTCGACAATGACGCGGAGGCGCATAATTATATTAAAAGCAATGGCGCTCTGGTGTAAAATAATATTTTCAAGCCTGTGTTACCGTGACAGTTTCTCTATAGACACAAATATGAACTTCTATGTCTACTTGATTCATTACCGAAACGTGGAAAGCTTGAAATGCCATTGATTTCTACGATACATTTATTGAGCGTTCCTAGACCCCTAAAATAAGCTTCTTGTTTCGATGTCAAATGTTAAGGATTGCTGCGGAATGCTTGAAATATGTTATGCTTTACGGCTTAACGTCACTCATTTTTCTATCATACAGTTCGTTGTAGTCAGTGTAAACACCCTGTAGAACGGTTCTCCTTCATCTTCGTGTCATTACAAAATTAGTCATATTTTTCTGCAATGCACGCACAATGTCTTCATTTCATGATCGAAGCGCTAAGTTAGATTCATCTTACGCTAAGCGCAGCAAAACTCATGGCTTCTATTAAGCTTATTTGACGTTCTTAAGATCAATCTTTTTCTTCATCTCATTTTCCGATAATCTGCTCTGAATCGTAAAAAAAATGCAATAAAACTATGACATTATTTACGTAGAAAAGCTTTTACTTGCTTTTATAAATAAGATTTATTCAGGACAGTATTAAGAAAAAAATCATTTTTCATGAATAATGAAGTTTTACAAGAATTATTTTCATATTTTTAACATTTTAATTATAATAATTATTTAAATTTATAAAATTTCAAATCATTTAAAATTCTGCATTACTTTAATTGCGTTAGGTGATATTGTTATTAAGTGAAAAATATATTTATTAATCAAAAATTAAAAAGTTTAATACAAATCAACACGCATTTTTTTTCGTGTATAAATATTCCGATTTTTGTTAGTATGGACGACCATAAACGACATTATCAGAATATAGGCGCGATGACTATAGTAAATTTAAAGTCGACATTTCTAAAATTACATTATAGAGAATATTTTCAAACACTTTTAAGATCGCTGAGTATTTAAAAAATTACACAAAAATGGCTCTCACGTCATTTTCTTAAATTATATTTTACAAATAAAGTCTCCGTAGAACAACAATCAGCCTCTCATCACCTCGTCAAACACATAAACATGGCTATTGTCAGATAAAAACACTGCTACCGTCTGCGGTATTTTAAATTTAGAGTAAATAATATTTGTTTCAAATCAGATTAATTCTACTTTAAATCAGATAATATTCCTCAAATAATGTTTCAGAAAAATATTTTTGGAATTTTTTAATAAATAGAATTACGTTGCGGTGATAGACGACTAAAAAATGGCGCTAATTAGCTGTTTTAGAAAAAAATCGATTCCAATCAATATAATTTATGTTTGAAATGCACCAGAGTATTTCGTTCACTAAAAATAGTAAATTTAATCCCTTAGCTTTCAATTAAAGCTAAAATGAAAACTTGAGGAAAGCTTTTTCATTTAAAAAAAAATCATGTTAAATGTTAGGTATCGTGAAATCCCGAATTAGTGAAGGTCGGGTGTTATTTTCGCTCTTCGCTATTTTCATGAAAATTATTTTGGATTTCTTTCGGTTATCGACAATGCGGAGTTTCCTAAAAGCAAAGTCGTTCAAAGCGAACTTTCTAAAAGCAACGGTTAATCTACCTGTATGCAGTGCCTTTTATTATCGGAGATTTTTAAGACTTAACAAATTTTCAAGATTATTTTAAAAGAGAAATTATCATAATGCGTCATTTGAACTGCAGACAATTGGAAACTCCCGATGAAATCTTCATTTTAACTCCTCGGTCCAAAACTTAATTGTTGGTGCCGCTGTTTACAAGCGTGTTTCATCTTTTGTTGTCATTTTGTTCAGAGTTATATTGGCATACTGTAAGGACGTAGGAAGGAAAGCGTTTTTTAATCTATTAAGAGATTTGTGGGTGAGGAAACCTATAAAAAAGAGTAATTTAACGATGAATGTCTCAGTTGGACAGAACATTTCCAATAGCTTTTAAAAGAATTAATACCTATTTAGGATGCGCATTGCATATATTGATGTTGATATTACGTAAACACAGTTATAGCTGTATGCCTGTGTCTTCGTTTCTATCTATGTTGGATAGAGGAAGGCAACAGGAAGAAAGAGGCAGAAAATGACAATGTAAAGGGAGAAAAAGAAAGAATTTAAATGTTAAAGGTAACAAGAGTTAAATGAACGATGGAAAGAAAGAAAGAAAGAAAGAAAGAAAAGGAAAGAGAAAGAGAAAAAGAAAGATGAAAATAATAAAAAGAGAGCAAATTAAAGTGATGATAAAATAGCGAAGGAAAGAAATAAAGAAAAAAGAAAACGAAAAAAAAAAAGGAAGTAGTAAAGAAAAGATGAAAGACAGAACAAATAATTAGAAAAGAAAAAAAAGAAAGAGGAAACAAATAGTTAAAGAAAGAAAACCGGGAAATAAGTAAAGATGAAAGAAAGGAGAAGCAAAATAGAATCAATTTTAAATGAAGATTGAAAAAGA